GCCTGGTGCTGCGCCCTCCACTGTAGCCCTCAGCGTCCGTTCGGCGCTCTGAGCCTGTGGGGAGCACCCTCACCCGCTGTGTAGCCGGAGAACTCCTATTCAGCCAGCCATAGCCTGGCCCACGGCAGCCTCTTTTATTGGAACCCTGGGCCTTACGCGTTTTAATTTATTTTTATTTTTGGAGGTGCCCGGGATCGAACTCAAGCCCTTACACTTGTAAGGCAGGCAGCAGAGCCACTGAGTCAAATACCTGGCTCCTAAATATTTAATTTTTAATTTCAAGACGGGGTCTTGTTAACTTAGTAAACTTCCCAGGCTGGACTTAACCTTGTGCGTCTCCTGCCTCGACCTCCCAGATCAGCACTGAGTTTATTCGCCTGCTCTGGACTCAAGCCCGGTCCCTTGTGCTTGGTTGTAACTCCAGCACAGTTCTGTGGTGTTTTACAGCTGCCTCCAGGCACTACCTGGAAGACAAACTCACTGCAAACCTGTGGACCGAGCCCCGCGTATCCGCGCCCTGCCCTGCACACATGAGGAGGCTCGCGAGAGTGCTGTGTTCAAATCCCAACACACACACACACTCCCCCCATCATCACGAACCTGCGTGCCGCCTGAGCTTTCTGTGCCTCGGTTTCCCCGCCTAGTCCGGTCCGCAGCGTTGCCGAAGGTGCTGGAGTCGGGCGCCTGACGACAGTTATTACACTCCTTGCTGATTTTAAGTTTTAATTGATGATCCATCAGCTACAGGTGAGGCGTGAAGGGCAGCAACAACGGATCTGGATTTAAAAACCTGTGGCCCCTGCATTCTGGGAGGCTGAGGCAGGAGGACTGCAAAGTTGGAGTTCTGTCTGGGCAACTTGGTGACCTAGCAAGGTCCTGTCTCAAAATCAAGGGGGTTTTCCAGAAGGCCTGGCATGCAGCTCGGCATGAGGCCTCCATCCGCCCAGCCAAGCTCAGCAGAGCTTAGGCCCCCAGCTCCCCTTTGGCGCTGCCGTCCGTGTGCTCCGAGAGCTGGGACCGAAATGGACGCTGACGGCACAGGGCGCTGTGCGTGAGTGCGTGCGCCCCGCGTGCTGTTTCCGACACTTAGTGACCTCCTCTCCAGGCAGCAAGGCTTGGGCCGTTTCCCACTTGGGTTTACTGCTGGCCTTCTCACAGCTGCGCCGGTGACAGGCTACAGCTGGTAGATCAAGTCTCATTTCTAAGTCTGTGAGTCGAGGGTGGTGGTGCACACCTGTGATCCCAGCACTTTGGAGGCTGAGGCAGGAGGATCGCAGCGAGTTCTAGGCCACTGTGGGCTACAAACCAAGACTCTGTCACAAACAAACAAACAAAAAATCAAAAGAGAAGTTTGTATGTGCACAGCCCTGGCTTCCAACGTCAGCACCAAGAGAAAAAACAATTATTATTATTTTTTGTTTTGTTTTTTGGAGACAGGGTCTTGCTATGTAGCCTAGGCTGGCCTTGAACTCATGGCGATCTTCCTGCCTCAGCCTCTCCAGTGGTAGGATTATAGGCATAGGCCACCATGCTCAGCTCACCAGGAAAAATATTGACTGCTAGGTACAGTAGCACAGGCCTAGAGTCATGGAAGGTACTGGGAGGGGCGAAGCAGGTGGACTACATGTTCAAGTCCCATGGTGCCATTTGGTGAGATCTCAAAATCAAAAATAAAAAAAGGCTAGCTCAGTGCAAAGGCCCTTGGATCAATTCCTCCCCATACACACACAAAAGAAGAAGCAGAATACCGACTGAAGGCCAAGTGTAGTGAGACTTGGCTGTAATCTGAGAGGCAGAGGCAGGAGGATTGCAAGTTGGAGCTCAGCCTGGGCATCACAGTGAGTTAATGAGACGCTGCCTCCAAAAACAATCAAACAAAAAACTTAGCCAGGCTTGGTGGTGCACACCTGTAATCCCAGCACTGAGAGGCTGAGGCAGGAGGGCTGCCATGAGTTCGAGGCCAGCCTGGGCTACACAGTGAAACACTGTCTCAAAATAAGTAAATAGAATAGAATAAAAAGGACTGAGGATGCAGCTCAGTCCAAGGGCTCTGGGTTCAATCCCTGGCACTAGAAGAATAAAATTAAATAAAAGACGGTCTTTCGTATTGATTGGTACTTCTTATTCATATTAATTATGCATCTGCATTGGTTTCCTGTGTTGTAAAAGTCTTCAATTTTATGGCTTGGCTTTGCTATTTAGTGCATCATTTTCTGAACAGAAAGCTTTTAATTTTCTAAGCAGCTTTTGCTTTGTGAAATGTCAGACCTGCAGACCAGCTCCCGGAGGCAGGGGCTGCTGCTGGGCGAGGGCTGCACCCACCGTGCAACTTCCCCGCTTCCTCTATGGCCTTCACCCCTGCTCAGGGAGCCCGCAGAGCTGTGGCCTCTGTCTCCCCTGATAATGACCCTCTCCTTGACTTTGCGGGTCTTCCACTGCCTTGGCAGCGTGGGGAGTCCTGACCAGGGATGTCGTAGGTGGAGCGACGTCTTCCTTGTCCCTCCTTTATTTTGCTGTTGAGTTTTTGAGACAAGGTCTCCCTACGGAGTCCAGGCTAGCCTCAAACTTGTGACCCTCCTGCCTCAGCCTCCTGGGTGCTGGGATGACAGGCATGGCCCTACCAGGCCTCCGTCCAATGAAAGGTGCACTGCAGCCTTTAGTACTTTCACAGTGTGGTGTGGCCGTCGCCTTCGTCTAGGTCCGGAAAATTTGTGTCACCCTGAAGGGGGCCCAGCTGCCACCTGGCTTCCTGTGCGACCGGATTTCTCTCCGCTCCGGCCTGGGCCTCGGCCCCCGCAGGGCTCCCTCGGAGCCTGGGGCCCGGACCAGGAAGCTCTTCTTCTGCCTGCCCGGCCTCCGCTTTCCTGGGCTGATCTGGGAGCTCAGCGCGGGTTAAGGCCCCACCTGTGAGGTCAGCTGTCTCAGGGAGCGGAGCTGCCGCGAGGCGAGGAGCCTGACACCCAGCGACCTCCCGTCCGCGGTCCTCCTTCCGCAGGGCATCTGAGCCGGGCTCGGCCTTTTTTCTCCCGCCAGCACTCTGGGAGGCTGAGGCAGGAGGATGGCGAGTTTGAGCCCAAACTGGGCAAAGGGAAGACTTACAGAGGCCCTGGCTCAGAATGAAACGTCAGAAAAGGACCTGGGGACATAGCTGAGTGTCAAGGCCCTAGGTTACATCTCCCATACACACAAAAAACACCCCCCAAAGTAGGAAAGAACCCTTGGGACGTGGATCGGAACCGCCTCCCAAGCGGAGCCCAGCCCGGTGTCCTCGTTGGAGCTGAGGTCCCCATTCTGCTTCCCCGCAGGGGCCGGGCCTTCACTGCGCGGCCTGCGCGCTCCAGGGTCCGCGTCTCAGGGCGGGACGGCGCCCCGCGGACTGTGAGGCCTGCCCTACGCTTCCCCGCCAGCGGCCGGCCTGCCTTCCCACCTCTCTTGGATTCCGGTGTCTGAGAAGCCACAATGAGAAACCTTGAAGCCAGGCGCTGCGCACCCCTGTGATCCCCGCGCTCTGGGAGGCTGAGGCAGGAGAGTCGCCGGCTGGAGCCCGGCCTCCTCAAAACGGGCCGTTCCTTGCACGAAAGCAGCTGCGCACACAGCTGGACGCGCATGAGAAGCGACTAAGTTCAGCTCTTTCTGGGGTGGGGGCAGGGGTTTCCCAGCAGCCCAGCCCAGGGCCACCCTCTGGGCCTGCAGGGAACTCCGAGTCCCTGCTGGTACCTCGGTGACTCCTGGCGCGGACCGGGTGCGGCGCAGGAGACCCGGAAGCAGGTGCGGAGG